AAATAAGGCAAAATCAATTGGTTCATTGTCTACCTTCTATCTTGATTCTTGAATAGCTTTTGGGGGCCTGACGCGAACTACATTATCGTATCTTTGCTCATAATTCTCGAAAGATATTTGTGCCGAAGGTTGCATCATAAAATGGAGGCACGTACACCCCGATATGTCAATAACGGCTCTATATTCTGCTTCATAAAATGCCACTTAAATCGGTATACGCATAAGGTATCATGTGATTTTGGGGGCCTGAAGCGAACTACATTATCATATCTTTGCTCATAATTCTCGAAATAGACTGGGCTGGTAAGACAAGAACTAGAACTTGCACCACCAAGAGAACCAAATTAAAGTTGAAACTAAATATGTATAAAACCCCGATCATTTAATGCCTATTTAGGTGATTCGTATCGATTCCCTTTTGCTAAGCTAATCTTTCTTTACTGTATTTACATTGTGCTTTATACTTTGACTTCCCATCTATCATCCCGTGACAACCAATTTAAAGTGTTCCCACCACTTAACAATTTATTACTTCATTCATTATTTACTGCTGAAACTATTGTATGTCTTCTTCAATGCCGTCCAAATCAATTGGATCCATTATCCCATGCCCATAATCATTGCCCAAATTATAAAGCATTGAAATGTCACTAAGACCATTAAAATCGTTAACTAATAACAAAGACAAAGTGGAAACTACAACACTTTCCAGTGTGTCGAAGCCACCAAACATTTCGTCGAGTTCACTAGTGTCCAACAATCTACTATAATTCATTTTGAAATTAGAATAATATATGGATAAAACTAGAAAAAGGTGTGAATGAAATATTATATTTAATATTAGAATAACAAGAAAATTTAGATAATTTAACTCAAATTTGCACAACAAAAGAACCAATTGCTTGTATTAAGATTGTAAGAACTAAAGCTGTGTTTGACAGCACATCTTTTCCATGGAAAATAGAAAATCTTTTCCATTTTCTTGCTTTTTGTCTGTTTGACAGCAACTTTTTCCAAGGAAAATTTTTTCCAGCTTCCACCCACGCGCCCATTTTCTTGCTTTCGGCTGAAAAGGTTTTTCAGGTTGTTGAATTTTTTTTTTTTTGGCAATGGAAACAATTGTCATAACTAATGGTAAAAAAATTTCACTTTAATTAACAATTTTCATATAAAACAAAGTCAAACAAATACTAAACTTTGATAAAAAAATGATTTTTTAGGAAACAAATTTTTTTTTCCGATTTTTTTTTTTAACTTTTTGGCAATGGAAACAAATTTTATAACCAATTATAGAAAAAATTATCACTTTAATAGACATTTTTTTATGTAAAACAAAGCCAAACGAATAGAAAATTTAAAAATTTTTCGGGTGGAAAATTATGACACGTCGAATTTGTGTTCGAC